CATGATGTGTTTCTGGCTGGGAAGACTAAATATTAGAAAATGTTCATTTCCCCCTAAATTATTCTATAAATGTAATGCACTATATAAACATCTCAATGGCATTTTGTTTGTAAAGTCTACAGATGGTTTTGAGTTCCCACGCCCACCATAGGCCCCCATCTCCAAATACCATCACATTGGAGGTCACATATGAGTTGAGGGGGCCACGACGCAGTCCACAGTACTGGGTTATTGGAAGTTTTGGGAAATGGGCTTTTCCATTCTTCTCTCTGCAGGAGTAAAAACAGCCATAATTTCAGAGTAAAATACAATAATCTCCATATAAACCGTTATCTGAAAGGATCAAGGGAGTGCTGTGTGCTAGGAGTAGGACCGCTTTTCAGCAAGACTCCACACTTTCGTTTGCAGAAGTGGGAGCCCCAGACCTCTGTGCCTCTTAGCAAGACTCTGTCACAGCTCTAGGACCTCCAGCACTGGTTCTCTCTATCCTTTGCTCATCCAGTGGGTGCTGTGTTGTGTTGTCAACGTCATCCACACCCCACTTTAGAACTGAAGAACTTATTTTCCCCAGATGCTGGGAATGGTGTATGTTGACAGCACTAAGCTGGGTTTCCCTCCAGAGTTTGCCCTTGGCTGAAGAAAGCCACCTCGTTCAAGCCCCAGGCCACTCCGATAACAGCATCCAATGACTGACTGATGTAGGGGTATACAAGCCTGGCCTCCTTGCCTCAGTTTGGGGCAACTCTGAAAGGCTTTCTTGGTTCTAGAGCTAGCTGTGATACCAAGAGAGGCCTTTGTTGTGACAGCAACACAGTCCAACTTCTTCTGCCTCATCCTGCTTCCTTTACATCCCTTAGGTATTAAACCTCTTGCACACAAATCTCCATCTCAGAGTCTGTCTCCTGAAGACTCCAATAAGGAATAGTTTCTTATTTCTCTCTGGCTTTGCCTATGGCCTTTATGTAGCCTTCCTCCACCTCTCTGGATTCTCTGAAACTCCTTCTAAGTGACTTCTGGAATTCCAAATCAGTCAGCAAAAATATTTATATGAAGGTTTAAGACAGATAATTTTCTTTCAGTCCCTTGGGTGTTAGAAGAGTTATTTCTAGTTTACCCTTATGGGGAGGGGTCTCCAGTAGGCACCCAACCTTGATAGTTCCTGGCTTTGTCTCCCGTCCTCCTTGTCCTTCAAGGCCATGAAGACCTAAGTTCATGCTTGCCCAGTTTGACAAATACTATGCTATTGGAAATGAAAATGCTAAATCTTACCTTTGTAATTACACTCCCCCTACCCCTACCTCAACGCCTAATGCCAGCATTTCAGTAGTACCGTTCTTTCTCCTCCAAGGCCAGGCAGATTGCCAGTGACCCAGTAGTAGCAATATGAAACTGCGGACCTATCCAATGAGAAGTGAAGCCCTACCCAGCAGGGCTTCTGCTTTCCAAAGTCTCATCCTCTAATGAGGGAGTCGTAGCCAGAACAAATGCATAAAGAAAGTCTAAACTATAAAACTATTTGTAACCTCAACATAAAATGTCACATAGCATAAAAACATATAAGGCCATTTCTCTGACTGTAACAGAGACACAACACAACTTTCTAGGAGAAGTGGGGCTTTTCTGACAATTTGTGACTACATATCAGCTCTTATGCTTCCACAGACACTGCTGGGACTCCCCGTCCTTACTGTCTTAGGATGAGAGGCTTGGCTTTGGCTCCTTGGACTAAGCCATGATCATGGTCCCCAGAAATCACAAAGTAAGAGGCCTGGGCATGGCGTAGCATAGTGGGCCAGGTGATCTGGGGAGGAGGAGGCAGGTGAGGAGAAGGAGAAAGATGTGGCAATGGGGAATGGCTATTAGGTGAGGGAGGCTGAGGAAAAGAGGACGGGGATATTTCTGTAGAACTGTCAGGCAGGGATGGATACAGTCAGTTAGAGCAGTGGTCCTCAAACATACCCAGAGAGGGGGCATAATTACAAAAGTGAGAACTTGTATTTTTAGAGAGATTTCCCCTGGAGATTCTGACTCACTAGATCTAGAGCAGGGGCCATGGACTCTGTATGTTTCTGTTTAACAAGTGATGTTATGCTAGATAAAATACAACTTGTCTACAGACAAGAATAAATAAACGACTTCTAGAGTTATGTTTAGCACACAAATTACCCAATTCAGAGTTCATGGAATATCAGAATGCATGAAGATATAATAACAATCTTACAGCAGAACATTCGCAGGGAGCATAGACAAAACGGTTAATGAAAATCCAGAATAGCTTAATTTTGTCCTTTATGAAAGCATTAAGTTCACCCTGGGTAGCTGTTCAGGTTTCTAAGAGTTAAGATAGGACCATAAAATACAGTACTTTGCAACCAAAGCTTTAGAAGAGAACTGGGGGTGAAAGTATGTCACCTGCTGCCACCTTGTGGCAGAACTGTGTAGTTAACAAAGATGGGTAGCAAGTCTGACTGAAGACTTGGGTCCTTTGACAAATATTCATTAACTAACTTGGAAAAATCACTTGAAATCTTTATGACTCTGTTTGCTCCTTTTAAAAAAAGGATTATTACTATGGTACTTAAATTATCATGTTGTTGATACCGGCAATTAGAACTTTCGAACACAAGAGGTATAAAATAGTAAGGATTCATATCTCATGGCAAATGTTTGGCCACTTAGGAGTAAGGGCCAAACTTACTGTTCCAGGGCTATCCCTTTTTCTCTTAAGATGGTGAACAGGTGGCAGCTGATAAGAAATGGGGAACATGGTCAATGAAAGAGGTCTCGGGCACCCTCCCTTTCATCTATGCCATTTTCCCAATTCTCTAGGGTGAGGCTATCTCTTTGGATCAGGGCAGGCTATTGGGAAGGTGTCAGACGACTGTGGCTTTTGGAAAAGATGGATCTCACCAGTAGCTGGAGAATCTGGTTATCTCATGGTGAGAATTGAAAGGTTGTATAAAGGTCTGCTTTCTTCTCTAGCACTCTGAAGTGTGGGTGGTGGTAGAGGTGTCCCACTTGAGTTGATCTGGCACCATTTTCCTGTTAAAAAAGAAATGACGGGTCCAAAAATGGAGTCATTTGAGCTAAAAGCAAGACTTAATACCTAACCTTATTGCAGTTAGAACCTTCTCCTCAAGCATTATTCTAGCTGCTTAGTGTGGAATTTTGTTATTTGACATCCCTGAGATAGTTCTCTGTCTTCTTAACATCCCTGTGTTGGCTTCATTATCAAGCTGGGTAGCAAGAAGGCTCCAATGGTTTCAGGCCTCACAAAAGATTCAAAAAATATGTAAACTTTTTTGGTTTTAGTATTCTAAGCAATTCACCCCGATTGTTAAGACTAGGACTTGGGCTTGAGGAATGGGACTATTTATATTAAGACAATCCTTAGAAAAGGAAATGAAATCAGCTTCCCTCAAGACATATAGAATAAAGGGGGCTAAACAGATACAAATAATGATACGAATAAAATCCTGGTTGTGTTCTAAAAGGTGAGAGCGGGGAAATGCATGCCGAGTAGGCAACCAACAATGTTCACTTAGTTTCAGGGATTGACAGCACAATACAACACACAGGTGATAATACTCAAATGAAATTCAGCTAGTCAGGGAACAGATAATGTACGGTGAGGATCATAGCAAACGGGAATAAAAGAACTACTCAGCCCTAGGCAGTGTGGCCATGCAAGAATACAAGCCTGGTGTTGCTAGTCAGCATTTTCAAGAGAAGTTGATAATCTAGATTCTTATGTAAAATATCTTGTTTTAAATGTTGGCAACTAAGTTTTCGTTTTTAACCACAAAAGGCTGCCAATACTGTCCAAAATAAACAAAGCATATTGGTTGGTCAAATACAGCTTGTGAACCTCAAGTTTACACACTTTGGGCTAAAATAGAGCAAGAGTAGAGCAGCCAAAGAAGGGCGGTCAGAGAGTGTCATTACTTCATACAGTGCTTTTCCCTGTTGGTCTCCAAACAATGGTTCTCACGCTTCTGCATCACCTAACAAACTGTGAAGTCCACGTGGAGCCAGTTACTTCTTTCCAGGCTAGGCAGAGTTCTAGCACAAGGAACAATGAATGCTTGTTTTCCCATTGTTTACCTTCTGATATTATTAGGTAGTTTTTCATAGTTCTGCCAGGCTCTTTATTGACATATTAGATTGATTACCTTCTTATTAAAACACAGACATTTAGCTTAACTGATAGAAAACAGCAGTTTGTTATTAACTTAAAAAAAAAACAACGCTTAATTAGCTTAAAATAGACTAGTGCTGAGATCCGAAACTACTTATTGATTTATGTTTATCTTTTCCTTGGTAAATTTCTTGTTCCAGAGAAGCACAAAAGCAGTAAGTGTCAATCTTGTTTGCACATTAGAGTCTCGTGGGGGTGGGGGCGGCTTGGGAAATGTAAGTGTGATGCCCAGGCCCTAACCTAGAGGGATCCAAACTCCCCAAGAGATTCTAATGTGTAGACAGCCCTGTTACACATTTCTCCGTAAGAAAAGCCTACAAGCTCCGAAACCTACCGAAACTCGGATTTTCTCCAGAATTCTTCATTTCAGCACGAAGGGGCTCAGAGCAACATTTTCCAGAGGTGTCTGAAACTCATTATTCCCTGCCTGGAGACTGACGGGACCATCAGCCAATCCTGTCAGAACGAGTCTCGGTAGAACCAATTGAATAATAGGCAACAGAACAACAGGCACTTTAAATAAACAGCCGCATTATCTCAGTAGAAAAACCAGGTTGCAGTAGCAAAGGCCAATAAGGAAAAAAAAAAAATCAGGGGCGCTCCCTCCGGCGTCAGCAAGGCCTGCGCACGCCAGGAGGTCTTAGCCGCCGCTCCGCCCTCCACGCGTTGCTAGAGAGACGGCGCTTACTTCCGGGAGCGCGGCTCTCTCTCTCTCTCTCGCGGCCCGTCACTTCCGCCCGGCGGTCTTGTGGTTGGCTGGGCCGGGTTGAAGCGACTTCCTTTTTTCTTTCCCTTCTTCCTCTCCCTGGCTCCGCCTCCCGGAAGCTTCTCTGGGTTTTCGCTTGCAGGTCAGGGGTGAAAGGTGGGAGGGCTGCTCGGACCTTGGTGAATAACTGCCGGGAGTTCGGCTCCCGGCCGGCGCAAGTTAGAACTCAGGTGAGATCTCGGCCAACAGCGGGACGGGACTGTGCGGCCATCGGGAGTCTCCACCCTCTCCCGCACCGGGGCTTCCCTCTCCCAGGCCTGCAATTGGCCTCGCCGGAGGCTGGGGTCCTAGGCCCCTCTCGAGTCGGATTGAGGCCCTTGTCCTGCTCTTCTCCCCAGGCGAGGTCCCACTCAGGTTGCTGCTGGTAAGCAGAGTAGCGTGTAGTCTCGGTAATGGTAGGGCTGCTTCCTAAAGTAGCGAAGTGTTTTAGCAGCCATTCCGCCTCCTTGGGAGGCAGGTAGGGCAGACAAAATATTTGTTCGCTTCCATTGTGCCTATGGAGAACTCACTCTTTAAAGGCAGCACGCTTTCTGAGAGGTAGAACTGGGATTCACACCCAACTCTAGCTTCCTTAGGGTTGCACAAAATCACGGGGAGAGCGTTT